CCAAGGCTTGGGGGAGGCTAGCCCAAGGATGATCATGGAGTACTTTGGCCCTGGCTTCCATACCTCCCACTGTGATTGTCTAATAGGTTCCCAAATTCGACATGCCCCAAACTGGCTCTCCTTTCCAAGCTGTTTCTCCTGCTACAGATAACCACAGGCGGTGTCCAGATGTCCCAGGCAGAAACTTAAGCATCTTCCTACATTCCTTCCTTTCCATCAATGTCTCTATTCAATGAGTGATCAAGCTCTTTCAATTCCATGTCACAAACGGATTCCTATTCTGCTGCTGACCCTCCTTCAACCACAGCTCTCTAACTTGAAGATTGCAAGCCAAAATCCTTTCCAAAGCCTTGAGTCTGACTTTCCCTTCTCTAGACTCCCTTCCCAGCTGCTCTGAATGCTTAAGCCATAGGATCTCTTTGGCCAGACTCTCCGACCACCGCGCCCTCACCAGGCTGTTCCACCTGTGTGGCATGCTCTTCCCTCACTTGTGTCTACTTGACCGGCTTACAGCAACCATCCATCCTCTAAGCCTCTTTTCTTGCAGGCATTTTCTTCCGTTTCCTTCAGCTCTGAAGAAAGACCCTCCTTACTGCTTGGATTGTCCCCGGCAAGTCTCCAACACAGCACGTTTCCATGGAGGCAGCATATTTGCCACCAGCACCTGTCTGCTTCTTTGTTGGTACTGAGTCCTTGGAGGGAGAAATCCTACCTTTTGCCTTCTTCTCCCTAGCAGCTCGACCCAAGCTCATCTCAGCAAGTGCTGGAAAAAGCCAACTGTCCCGAAGTCAAAAGTAAAACCTGCCCATCTGTCATGCTTGTCTCGTTGGCTCCATGAAACATGGCCACATTATTCAAAACAGCCCTGGCATTTTAATAAGTCTTTAGGCTGGGAGTTTACCCATCCATCATTTCTGAGGAGATGATGCTAATGTGAGGGCAAATGTGCTTCCTCCCCAGTTGACTTCTATATTTTTTCTTCCATCTAGGAAATTATGGAAATGTCTGTCTGGCCCCCCACACCAATGCCCCTTGGCCAGCTGAAGGCTATGAGAGAGGAGGCACAGAAGCACCGTCTATTCAGGGGTTGCCCAGGGAAAGGATGTTATAATTGAGTACCAACCCAGGCAGAATAAAGACTCATTCCCCTGGGATAAGTCATAGTGAAGTTTTTGCAAAGAACAAGGACAACTGAATTTAGAAACCACATCAGCATATTCCGTCCAAACATGTATAACCAGAAGCCTCGATGGGGAAAGCTGGAGGAGGACAATGTCATATTCCACTTGGATTGTTCTCCTGGGTTCACTCCACGTTGTCTCTCCAATCCTATTCCTTTGTAGCCCAACATATCAGTCCCAACCCCAAAGAACCTCCCATTGTCCTCCGGAGCAGATCTACACTGCCAGGATGGGGATTTACTATAAAAGGAAAAACAAAACCAAGCTGGCAGATGATGTTAATCCTCTGAGAGCAGGCGTTGGTCTGTCTGGGAGGGAACTTAGGGACAATCCCTGGCAGGGTGTGCTGCCAACGAGACAGAAGAGAGGAGCAAATCAATAGGAGGAGAAAATAAAAAGAGGATGAGGGCAGGGCAGAGGGGTTCACTCCGCACTCGTAACCCCAGAGCGAACAGTGCAAACCTGAGTGTAAAGGAAGGAACAGATGAATACCGTGTTTCAGCCAGGTATGCACAGACTTGGCAAGGAAGAGGTAGTCACACCCAATGAAGTTCAGCTACGGCGATTGTAAAAATTATGTTCCCAAGGTGCACAGGATGGAGTCAGGCTAACTTGGGAACTCCTCCACGGGTCTACCACAGCTTTCCTGTTCTCAAACACTGGGCATGGAAAAATAAGAAACACGGCTATTAGATGAAGGCACGTTGGAAGGGCTACCATGTTCCTGCAAAGTGTCTGGGTCAGAGAGAGAGAGCGTAGATCTGAGAGAAAGAGCTGGCTCTTTTCGAAGTACTTCCCTTGATTTCATGCTTGATTTCTTAGAGAGGGAAGCGAATGCAGAACTTTAAGCCAGCAGCTCATCTTGAGCCTGGAAATCAAATGATGGGCTCTTGGGACCGGCAACTTCTTCAGCATTCTCCCAGGAGCAATCAAGGCTTAGTGGCGGCGGCCCTCTCGTGGCAGGGTTGTGGGATGAGGCGCTTGTGTTTCACACGCCTTTGGCCCCTGACTCTTTGGTGAATGGAAGATTAGATCTGACAGGTCATTGGAACTTCAAAATGTGGTGCGTTCTCCCCACAAATAGAATCCCTCGTCCTATATAATGTTTCTTATATATAGATATAAGAATCCCTTGTCCTATATAATGTTTCTTCCTTCCAAGATATTGGTCTTTTAATTTGCTGGGGACGCTTCATGCCTTTAATCCTGAATTTCAAACTTTGAGAGTGGTCGCATCTAGAAAAAAGGTGCCTGGTCTCCTTCACTCACCACACAGCCTGTCGCTCTGGGGCCTGCCAAGAAGTGCTAGGATGTAGGATCTTGTCACCGTCACAGGGAATTGAGGAAACAATTCCCACCTACTCTAAAGCAAGGGGCTAAATCAAGTGCCGAAGGGAGCGGTGCCTGGAACCTCGGGACAGTTCAGCTTTCTTCTTCAAAACCTGCTCTCTACTGCTCCCCGCCCCCGGCCCCCACTATCATGACCCCTTATAAACCCTGCTAGACCAGAGCATGTACATGGGTACAGATCAGAGCTGGAAACCCAGGGATCCAGGACAGATAAACCCCTCAGGACCAATAATGAGAGTAGTGATAACAGGAGGGGAAGGGGAAGGTGGGGTAGAAAGGGGGAACTGATCACAAGGATCTACAGATGACCTCCTCCCTGGAGGACGGACAACAGAAAAGTGGGTGAAGGGAGATGTCAGACAGTAAGACATGGCAAAATCATAATTTATAAATTATCAAGGGTTCATGAGGGAGGGAGGAAAGGTCGGGGAGGGAGGGGGAAAATGAGGAGCTGATACCAAGGGCTCAAGTAGAAAGAAAACGTTTTGAGAATGATGATGGCAACACATGTACAAATGTGCTTGACACAATGGATGGATGGATTGTGATAAGAGTTGTACAAGCCCCCAATAAAATGATTTTTAAAAATCCCCCCAAACAAAAACCAAGCAACAGCTTAGCTTAACTAATAAAACCTCCCCCCGAACCTGCTCTCTTTATTCATTCTCTACCTCAACATGCCAGCACATTGAAAGGACACCTGTGCCTTCTCTGGGAGGCTATCTAAGGTGTGCACAAAGCCTCAGAAGGATTCATTAAAAGCAAAGCAAAGGAAAGGAAGAATGAAAGAAACCTCTAGAAGCTAGACAGTGGGATCAGCGTTCCCATCTGGGAGATAGGAAAATGGCCTTCCCATGGGATGTTCCTTTCCCTTCCACACCAGGCCAACACCTCCTCTCGACAGCCTTACTGATAAGAACTGCACCGTAGGCTTTCTTGGAAACATAACACACACACACACACACACACACACAGAACTACACACACACAACTTACACACACACACACACACAGGCCAGAGCAACAGCTGTTTCTAGGGCCCTCGGGCGCTCCTGTGCCCTGCCGCCCCAGCAGCAGATGCCCGGCCAGCCTTCCTGAGAGCATGCCGGAGCCTCACCTGCTCGTCAGCGGCTTGGACAGATAAACATGGCGAGGATCAATTTAGCAGCAGCAACTTAGAAATAGGTTCTTGCTACATTTCCTCAAAGAGAAAAGGGGCACTGTAGCCCCATAAACACTAGCTGTTTTCCGATGCCCTCTGAAGACCCTGAAAGATCCGTTCAGGTCACTAGAGGAAACAACGCAGACGCACTGCCGAGTGCTGAGCCTCAGCACGGGAACCGTCACGCGGGACACAGACCTAGCAGCTCGGAAGATTCAAGGAAAGGACCAGGGAGGCAGCTCCAGCTCGGCCTCCTTTTCCTGGTTAGCAGACTCCACTTTGCAGCCCGGTGCCTCCTACACCTGGCACCTGGGGCATGCTTTCTGTGCCTGGGCAGTGTGGGGTGGGGTGGGGTGTGGCTTGGTACAGAGCCTCCAATAGTCAACACTGGTTGTTTCCCAGGGGAGTCCCAGCACAATGGAGGCCAGCCGAGAGGATGCTCTCTGAGCCTCAGCCTCTGGGCACCCCCGCACCCCCACACGGTCTGGTTATGTATTTTCTCACCCTGTGACATTATCATCCGTGGGTCTCCGAGGCCTAAGGCCCTCCCAGCTTTTGAACAACTCTAAGCTAGAAGTGCAGAAGGAAGCCCTCCTCTTGGAAGGCAATGGGTAATTCAGAAGACGTTTGATCTCCAGAGGAGGATCTTTAGAAGGGGCTCCATGGACGGCCCGGTGGGCACATTTGTTTGTGTGGCACAGGGGCCGTGATCTCCTGTATGCAAATTTGATACCGGGCTTGAAAGGCTGGCAGGGAGTCTGGGTGGGATTTTCCTGTCCCCTAAGCAGAGGCAGAGACCAGAGTCGGAAGGCTTGTTGGGTTATTGAGGAGCGAGGCAGAGAGGAGGGGAGGGATGACCCAAAGAAACAGAAACAAGATGCTGTGGTTTGTGTATCCAAATTACTGACGCCCACCCCAGACTGCCCCCGAGCCCCAGCCGGGGGCGGGGAGGCAGGAGCAGCCCTGCGACTTTCCAAACAGGGCGGCTAGAGGACATTTGTGCAAAAGAGGACCTCTCCCTGGGAGCTGTGACTCATTCTATTGTCTGTCCGCCAGTACATTCCAAAAACATAACCAAGAGGGTGTGGCCCTGTCTTGCTCTGGCTCCTTCTTCCCAGGTTTTGGCAGGAGGCGCCGGAAGGGAAATCCAAGTCCCTTCTGCCATGGTGAACCCTGGAGATCTGAGAGGGACGGAGCTGAAGTCTGGGGAGTGGGGGGAGTGGGGCCCTCTTTCTTAGCTGACTACCTCTCTCTCCCCCTCAGATGCCAGATAAATGGGAGGGCCTCTGGCCGTTTGGGTCACTCACCTTTCATACCACTACCTTCTTCTTGGAATGTGTTACGAGCAGTGGTCTGATCTTCTAAGTGCTCACTCCCACCACTTCCTGAAGAGGCTACACTGCTTTGTGGAGACAGGGGGGCATGCTCGGAGGGGAGGCACTGGGCTCCTCTAGCTCGTAAGTCCTCATGAGACATCCATCCATGTCCTAGAGGCTGGGTTGGCACATTCATGGGTGGGGTAAGGGACACAGATCGTTTCAAAGGGCTGTGGTGTGCCTGGCCTGAGAGAACTGGAAAAAAAAAATGAAATAGGTTATTCCCCCCGTTTAGCCTGGGATGCAGAAGAATCCCCAACACCTTTCAACCCTGAGAGACACCGCTAACAGTCTTCAGACTCCTTCTGTGGACCAGAGCCGGCTGGGGACGCGTCTGGTGGGCTCCTTCCCTTTGAGAAGTTAAAAGGGAGTCCCTTCCTCCAAGGTACCTAGACACGCCTAGTACCTGCTCGTCTGGCTTTTAGCCTCTGTAGGGCGGGATTTGGCTTTTAGTTTGGGATGTGTTTTCTGTCCTAACTCTGGGAGCCAGGACTTGCAGCAGTAGCCCCTCAAGTCAGGGGAGGCCTGGCAGTTTGGGCAAACAGTCATAAGCAGAGAGCAAGAAGAACACGCGTTGGACAGTGACAAGACAAACAAGGAAGCATGACACCCGGCCCAGCCCTGCCATTTAGGGAGGGTTTTCTTGAAGGGTCGGCAGGCTGGGCAGCATTTGGGTGCTTGGCTGGGCTGGGCTGGGCTGAGCTAGAAGGGATATGGGTACCATCCCCTCTGGTGGCACAGGCTCAGTGAGGGGTCCCAACAGGAACCTGGACCACAGGGTATGGGACACGGGGCAGCTGGGTGTAAAAGGCTGATTCTTTCCCTTGGATCCTCAGGCTGATGCCAAGGTTTACATCACAAGCACTTCCAGGTAACAAACCTTCCATTCAGAAGGCAGGAGGTGGGGGGTGCGCTCAGTAGGCTCAAAATTGTTTTTACCAGCACACCCAGCCCTTTAGCACAGTGGGCAACATCTGCAGATCCCTCCCCCCCGCTCCCCCGCCTTACTTTCTTTCCCAGAAAACTAGGAAAAAGCAACAGAGGCTCCCGTAATGAGCCAAATTAAATTGAGGTCATCAAGGGAGGGACAGGACCAAAACCCTCACTTCGGGAGCCAGCGTTGCCCTTGGTTGGTTTTTCTGGGTGTGTAAAGTGACACCTCACTAAGACAGCCTATTCATAACAGCCCCCAGCCCCGGTCCCCGTCCGTCCCGGACGGGCCCGTTTATTTTGACGGCTGCTGGGCTAACACATTTTTAAACCTTTTTTTTTTTTCCCAAAGGAAGTCACTGAACTTGGTCTCAGGCACTATCCCCTCCACAGTGGCATTTTGCTCTCCCAGGCCGGGACTCCAGGCCTTCTTTGCGGGGATCAGTTTTTCTGGGGGTTGCAGTCAGCAGACTCTGCAGATGGCCCTGGGGGCGAGGGGTCAACATGAGGAACTGTATTAAAGGGTCGAGGCATTAGGAAAGTTGAGAACCACTGCCTGAGAGCAATGGAGGCGCATAGCTCTGGCGACTGTGATTCCACGTGGCTAGATAGGGTCAAAGGGAGCCTTGTACGCAAAGGGGACCATCAGAAGGGTTGGAAACTTAAGGGGAAAATGGGATGGGGGTGGGGGTGGGCAAATGGACGGGGCTGCCAAGTTTAGAATCTGTAACCAGAGAAATTCCTAATTTGAGTAGATTCTATCAAATATCAGGAGTTATTATTTAATTTAAAAATAAACAGCGGGGAAGTCTTTTTATGGGGGGGGGGGTCGTGGTCCTAAATTAAGCCTAAAGGCTGAGATGGCCTGCATTCCCTCTAAACAGACTGGGGAAGAAGTGGTGGAAAAGGGCTCCCTGGGAAATGCACTGCTACCTAGCTGGATCAGAATTAGCAAGAGGAGGAGGAGTGGAGGAGGGGTGGGGGCCAGAGAAAGGGGGGGGGGTTTAAAAAAAAAGAAGCGGCAGCAAAAATCAAGAGAAGCCAGTAGGAAGAAGAGCCAGACATCCAGAAAATCCATTTCATGCCTGTCTTGGTACTTATCTAAAATTGGGCAAACTTGCTCAGGGCAGCCCTGCATGCTGGAAGGTTCCAGCTCAGCCTTCCCTGGCTCCTGGTACCTCGGCCCCTCAGAACACTGGGTGGATGCTTCCAATGATGCCAGCCACGAGTGGCCCACATGGAAACGGGGGCTCCCAGGTGCAGCTCAATTAAGGTGAGCCTGAAACTGCCGAAATAGACCTCAGCAAAGAGGTGCATGCAGCCCAGAGCTGGCGCAACCCTTGGGGCCCAAGGCTGGTGGTCAGAGGGGATAATGCAATTGAGCGTTAACAGTGTTGGGACAGTCCCCACCTTGGAATGCTGAGAACAGGTAGTATCTGAATCCCATCAGAATAGATGGAGCCAGCATGCTTCTTTCCAACCTAAGGTAGCCTTCAAACCCCCCCTTCTACCCCACTGGGACAGGCTCAGGGCTTCAAAGACTACTATGAATGCCTAGCTACCTAACTTCTTGAGGCTCCCGGGCATATGCCCCCATGTCTTCATCTTTTCCAGCCCGTGGCTGAGGTCACAGCAGAGATGGCATGAGTTACGCCTCTGCCCCAGTCTAGAAAGATCATTAGGTCCTGAGGCCTTTCCCCAACGACATTCTACCAAAAGCCTCCTCTATGTGAGAAAGTCCCATGGCTATCATCAAACTCAAATTCACCTCAGAGCCAACTCCCCTTGGCTCCCAAGCCCAGGTCCTCACACTGAGCTTCTGGTCTACAGAGAAGGCCCTGGTTTAGAGTTGCACCCAAGTCAAAGCAAAGTCATGCTGGGCTAGTGCCTCATCTTCCCCAAGGAAACCCACAGAGGTGGCTCATAAGTGGTCCTGTTTGTCCTCCCACAGGAAAGAGACTGTGGCAGCAAGGCTGCTCGTGGGTGCTGGTGACCACACAGCTGATTTGGGGGTCCCTTGATGTGCTGTAGCACTCTGCTTGGTACAAAGTGGCAGAGGACAATCTATGCCATGGGCATAAAAAGACTATCAGAAAATAGGCCACACAGTTGTGGAATTAATGAAGAGTCTCATTAGCTGCCCCACTGCCCCATTTTCTTACCCAAACAACTGATCAGCAGTGGTGATAAACAGAGGAGAAATGGACATGAAACAGCCCCACCCCTCAAATCCTCCCCTTTTCTTAGGAAAAGTAAGGAGAGTAATGGAAACAGACCTCTGAGAAGGCTCCCAGGACTGTGTTACAAGCTCCCCCCCACCCCCATGGTCTTTTGAATGCTCTGCGTGCTGCAGGCAAAGGCTTCCCTCAGACGTAGCAGCCCAGATGTAACACTTAAATATTGCAGAATTAAGTGCACCTTCAAAAGACGCTCTGAGTATATTAGGCATTGGCCAAGTCCCGTGACAGAATGGAGGTCCAAGTTTATACTGCATTTGTGATTTGATAATTGGGGTGGGGGTGGAGAAGGGGCTACTTGGCTCCGGATGGTTTCATGATATTGAAAGTCACACTGCAAATTACCCACAAGAATAAAACTGTGCCCTCGCCTTTGTGGGTGAAAAGCCCACACTAGAACTTAGCATTGATTCCATCATGTTTGCAATCATGTTTTTGAGAAATCTATAGAAGAAGATTCAGGTTCTGTGTGTGCGCGTGTGTGTATAAGAAATTATGATACCTTACATTTTAGACCTTTTATAAATTCAAATGAGCCTAAAGGAAGTCATCAATACTGGCTACGTCTGCTGAACTATGGACAAGGCAGCTAAAAATAATCTTGTCGCGGGAGCTGAGGCAGTGTGACGTCAGCACAGAGGGTCTTACTCAGGCAGGGAGCATTACCATGCCACTGAGGGCAGGCCAATGTTTCTGACCTCAGCGAACCTCATACTTCCTTTTTCAATGCCAGACATCTTTAATGACGCCCCCTTTCAACACTTTTTTTTTTTTGAAGAGTGGGGGGCGGTTGGGGGGCAGGATAAGTTGCCTCGCTCTGAATTCTGTTATGTATTTTTTCTTCAAAGCCTAGAAATCAGATTTCTTTCTCATTTTCTTTGATGAATATCATCTTTGTTTCATTTTTAATGATTGGAATAAGATCCAGGAAAAGATCTTGTGGGATATTTAGTACTTTCATAAGAAAGTGAGATATAACTATATTTTCTGCCTTCTAATGGGAGAAACAACGCTTGCGGTGAGTGGAAGGCTGGGGTGCTGGTCCTCCCGCCCTCCTGCGCCGTGGTTTTCCTGGCAGGATCAACAAGGGGTCGTGCGCTGTTAAGAAGCGCCATGGTCTGCAAAAGCAGAGACTCCCGGTCAGTGAAGCTGGGCTCTGATACCAAAACAGTGGAGCCCTTTCAAAGACACATGGCCTGCGTCTCTGTGCTCCAAAGCGTATCCATAGAACATAACGTACGCTCCACAAATTACTGCTATGCCCAGAGATCCCTAATTCTCCAGAAAGACTAAGTTTTTCCAAGTTGTGAGTGTTCGCTCCTTCCTGAGGATTTAGGAATGGGCATCAGTTCTGGTGTGGAGGCTGGGCATGGTGAATGACCCATTGTCCAATATAAGCGGAGCGCACTGGCTTCATTGAGGTTCTTATCATTTTTTTTTTGATCAGGCGATTAGAAGTATAATTATTGTTTTATAGAATCTGGTTTTTAAAATGACAAGCAAAGTCCTTAACTCAAACTCATGTAATGCACTCCTGCCCTACAATGTAAGTGCTTCAAGTGCTCTGTACGCTTTTCGTAGTTACACTGCCTCAGCGACTTCAGCCAACCCTTATTTCTCATTCCTACCACTGCTCATTTCCACCTATTTCATTCTAGAGTCTGGAATCTAGACCACTAATCCCTTCAGAAAACGGATTTGTGTCTCAGTAAGGGCATGAGGTTGTCCCATAATCCAAATACCGCCTTCTTTCCTTTTTCACCAAACCAAATAGTTTGGTTAGACTTTGGATGCTCATTATTGCCCGGATTAGTCAAGTTATATAGACATGATTTGTAATTTTAATCTTTTTTCTTCCCAAGCTAGTCTCTTCATTTCTAATTTAAGAAGCTATCTTTCTCACAGAAAAGAGTTGTGCCTCATTAATTTTTCAAGATTCTCGATGCCCACATGCTATAATTCAATCCAATTCAGAATACAACTAAACTTTACAAAAATGACTCACTCTAATTTGGGGATTTTTAAAGG